ACCCACCCCGCCCCAGGTTGTCTTTTGCTGTCGGGTCCCCAGAGGACTTAGAAGTTGCATTGCATGGAGGATTTTTGTTTGTTATTTTAATTGTCAGACATAGGATAGGCTGTTTAAAATACCTTAAACTATATATTAAACACATAACAAAAGAATATTTATAAACACACTTAGGGTATAGAGAATAAGAAGACAAAGCCCACCACCCACCTTTGAGCCCCACCCCCACCCCGCCAGTTGCTTGGGTCTTTTTCACCATAGTTATTGAAAGATCTGTAGTAGGGACAGTTTTTAAATGTTTAATTTAAAAAAGTGTGTGATTTCTGGATACAAAGGCAGTACATGGTTTTTGTGTTTTGTTTTTTCCCAGAAACCGTCGTCTGTTCGTTGTCCCAGTGGCCCAGGATGACGTGTTGTGTTGTGGTTTTATTGCCCTGCCTGTGGCCAGCACATTCTTTATCTATATGCATATCTATATACATATGTAGGCAGGAATGAAGATTGTGCAACAAACGCTAGTCATTTTATTCGCTCTTTCATGTAACGCTAGCGTGTGATCTCTTCTCTCAATCCATTCACCATCCTCCCCCAGCCAGGGGCCCTGTGCTGCGAACCCTGTTATGTTCCTGGGGGCGGACGAGCCCTCCCCGCTTTGCACGGATGTGGTCCTGCCGCAGCCTCGGCGCTTGCTCCGTGGTATTCCAGACTCTTCCTTCCCGAGGCCCCGGCTGTTTGCACCCCGTGCGCGGGCTCTCAGAGACTCTTTCCCTGGGGGTCTACAGCTGATGATGAGACCCGGTTGGTGGCTGAGTGGGATGAAGAATGTGAGAGCCGGCCCTCCGTCTGTCCTGGGTGTGTGTCCTGCCCTGCTTAGTAAGGAGGCCCCTCAAATGGGGTTTTGTCCTCCCTCCTGGACGTCTAGCCCCTGTTTCCGTTCTCCTAGCCCCTCCACCCTGCTCCCAGCCTGAGCTGTCACAATTTAGATGCTTCACAAGCCGCTCCCGCAGTGGGTGGGCAGAAGCAGGCACAGTCAGTCCTCTGGGCCCTGAGCCCTCAGGCTGGCAGATGTGATTGGAAACCCACCCCCTTCCCTCTCTATTCTGGGAACCACCAGGACAGCATGTGGTCCCCTAGACGGTGAGGGACGACCCCGGCCCTGAAGGCTGCTGCCCCTAGGAGATGGCGAGGAAAGAAGGTTGAGACCTGGGCTTCGGAGTTGGTGGGACCAGGCCCACAGCCTGCGTCCTGGTTCGCTGTGGGCCTCGCGTGGGAGGCTTCTCCCTGCAGCTCTTTGGTGAGATGGGTTAACACAGGGGCCTTTATCGGGATTCGCTGAAATGAGGCTTCGCTCAGTGTTGGCCCAGAGAAGGGCTTAGTAAATATTACAGTTTGTTTTAGTAACAGAAGCAGGTTGAGTTGGGCGGGCCCTAAACCTCAGGTTCGGTGCTTGGCCGGAAGGCCTCACGGAGCACAGCCACGCCGTTATACTCCCAGTTACGGTTTACTCCGGTGAAAGGATAGAGATTCAAATCAGCACATGGCAAAGGCACGTGGGGCCGGCTCCAGGAGAGACCAGGCTCCAGCTTCCGGTCCTCCCCTCCCAGTGGCGTTGTGTGGGTGGCACTTCATTCTCCCAGAATGATGTGTGACAACACGCATGGGGTGTTGCCAACTGGGGAACCCACCCGAGCTTTGGTGTCCAGGTTCTCACGGGGCGTTGGTGACAGAGACACAGCTGACCACCCACATGGTTGACCTCAGTCTCCAGCCTCTCCAGAGGTGGGGCTGATACCGTGTGGCCCAAGGTCCCCCCATAAATCTGTCATTAGCAGAGACCCTCTTGCTTGGCCCAAGGCCCCAGGTAACAAAGACACTCTGTCAGCCAGGAAGTCCCAGGGGCTCCGAGGTTCCCTCCCAGGAGCTTGGCCAGGGCCAGACCTGTCTTGGACCATGCAGGGTGTGGCCAGCGCAGGTCTGCCCAGTTAACCCTTTCCTGCACACGGGAGGAGGAGCAAATGAGGCAATGAGGGAGGTGTTTGCAGACAAAAGTAAGGACCAGGGCCTCCTGGTATGGGCAGCTCCTTTGCAGGGAGAACTGGCCCTTGTCACTGTTTTTCCGTCTGTGCCCAGTCCCCCGCTGTGTACTTTCCCTCTCCTTTTCTGGGCCCCAGTCCAGAACTTGCCAAGGGTCCTTTCTGTCTGCTGCCCCTGGGGACAGAACCTCTGTCACCTCACACAGCTCACCTCCCGTGAGCCCAGGAGACGGGCAGCACTGTCCTCTGTGGCTGCCCCGGGTAGCACGAGACGTTTGGATAGCCTGTCATTCCCCACATGGCTGAGAGGTTTCCACAGGTGACGGGTACTGGGGGTGCCAGTACTTGACAACACACTAACTGGGCTCTTCACTTAAGAGCCTTTCGTGGTGTTGTTTATTCATTAGTGAAAGGTTTTAGTTCAGCCAAACCCCTTCCTTTTATGAAAACCCACCAGCCAAGCCCGCAGCCTTGAAGAACCTCTTCCTCATTTCTTTCATGGCTGGATAGGAAACGTGCTCCTTCAAAAAATGATCATTTTCACATCACTTGTACTTTGCATAATGAGCTGATTTTCCATAGAAGCCCAATTATACTTCTCAGAGGCTGATGAATATGAGACTTAATCTAAGAATCCCACCCTGGTGCCAGCTGGAGGGTCAGAATTGGGGTGAGGGGTAGTCCGTGTCAAGTCATCCAGGTCAGAATGTGGGTTGCAGGCCCTTGTCACAGCCAGAGCTGGCCCTCCAGACCCAGGGATGTCCTGGTTTGGGATCATCACAGCTCTTGAGTGGCTGGGAGGGAGGAGATGGCAAAGGATGAAGTGAAGGTGAAATGCGTGAAGGTGAAAGGTGAGGGCAAGGAGCGCTCAGCCCACGAAGGCCTCCTCTGTCAGCCACCTGCTTGCCAAGTGACCTTAGGAAGGGGTGCTCATGGGGCCTTTGTCTCTTCTTCTGCAGGCTGGGAACGTTCCCCACTGCCAGGCAAGGTTGCTGTGAGCCTGCAGCGCTGGGCATCGTGGTTAGGGTAGTGCCTGACACTCCGTGAATGCCTACGGGCTGCTGGCCTGGCTGGTGGGCTGACAGGTGACCCCCCCAAAGTTGCATTTACCTTGTGACTCCTGGACCCTGTGACAGAGAAAAGGTTCTCTGCAGATGTAGTTAAGTTCGTACAGATGGAGTTCGTTCATAATTACAAGAGGGAGGCGGGTGGAGCAAGTCAGAGAAAGGAGACGTGATGACAGAGTAGAGGTTGGAGTGAGGTGGCCGTGAGCCAGGGGACACAGGAGGTCTCAGAAGCCGGAAAAGGCGAGACCGGGTTCTCCCTGGAGCTGCCAGAAGGGACCAGCCCTACGGACACCTTGATTTGAGCCCATAAGACCCCTTTCAGACTTCTGACCTCCAGAGCTGCAAGATTAAAACAAATCCGGTTGCTTGAGGCGAGTTGTGATGGCAGCAGTACACATGGATGGGATGGGAGGCCGTCATGGCACAGGGCATGGCACGTCTCCGCACACCCTCCCTGGGTCCCGGTGGCGGTGGTGGCGTCGGCTCTGCTTCTCTCTGGGCTGAGCACTCTTGGGGACAGGGACCCGCCTCTGTCTCTGATCCCCAGTCCTGACCCAGCCCCTCTGTCCCGTTTCTGCCCCCTGACTTTTTATTAATTGACGTAAAATTCACATAATATGAATTTAAACTTTTAAAGTGTGCAATTCAGTAGCATTTAGGACAGTCACAGTGTGGTGTACCTGCTGCCTGCATCTGTTGGGTTGTCGGAAAAGTCATGATGTATTTTTTCTATGTTTTTCGTTGCAAAATGCGTTCCTGACTTTTCCGACAACCCAATAGTTGCAGAGTGTTTTTATCATCCCGAAGGAAACCCAGTATCTGTTGAGCAGTCACACCCCCACCCACATCCCCACCCACTCGCCCTGGCAGCCGGCTCTCTGCTTCTGTCTATGGACTGGCCTAATCCGAACATTTCACATAAGTGGAATCTTACACTATGTAGCCTTTTGTGTCTGGCTTTTCTCACTCAGCGTCAGGACTGC